TGCCTTGCACGTGGCCTATCTGGGTTCGATTCCCAGCAACCCGTATGGTCCCCTGAGCACCGCCAGGAGTAATTCCTGAGTGCAGAGCCAGGAGTAAACCCTGTGCATTGCCAGGTGTGACCCAAAAAGCAAAAAATAAAAACCTTCTTGAAAGAATTACAGTAGATACAGATATTAGTTATAGCAGATTGCAATAGATATTAGATATAGTAGATTGTATATTACATATTGTATTATTATATATTGTTGTTACTGTGTCTGGCATATCGAATATCTCGGAGAGCCCGGCAAGCTACCGAGAGTATTCGATATGCCAGACACAGTAACAACAAAGTCTCCAATGGAGACGTTACTGGGCCCGCTCGAGCAAATCGACGATCAACGGGAGGGCCTTTACCTTTACCTTATTATATATTAGATTCGATCACAGTAACATGGTGAAACAAGGAATACACTAAAAATTTTAATGTATCTGTACTAAAGAATTCCATTTTTTATTCACTACTACAAAATACTATCAAGTTAAATCTACCACAAATTTCAAGGAAAATTGTTACATAATCCTTTTATTCAACTCTTTTACACCTAGGAAACATGTTTGCTGGTAAAATAATCCAGTCTTTATATTTCACAAAGCCATCAGAAAACTATTATTAGAAATATATACAGATGAGAAATCTAAACATAACAAATTTTTCAGACGTGAACAAACGGTTCAAAGGGCAGGAGCAGAGGAGAGCTCAATGAGTTAGAGGGAAGACATGTGTTGCACATTGAGAGACATGAGCTTTATATGATTACCCCAAGAATGCCAGGAGTGGCCTCCCAAGCACTAGCTGGGTACAGTCCCTGAGCACCACTGCAGTCCCAAAAGGGGGTCGAGAGCGCAACCCCGCCCCAAGTTAATGATTGAATAAGCCCTCAGATAAATTATTAAGTGAAAACACGTAGACAGATTTTATTTGTTTAAAAAAGCAAAGTAAAGGAACACACATATACCTTATGAAAAGTTTTTGAGAAAATTTACAAGAAAAATGGGTTTTTAAAAATTCACAAAACAGAGAAGTCAGGGATCGAAAAGGACACACCATTTATACCCTATGTATTTCTTAATTTTACCATATAAATACAATGCCAAATTTTTTATGGGTTTAAGGGTTTGTTTTTTAGTGGTTCTGGAATGCCCACATTTTAAAAATAGTCTTTTATATCTTAGAGATATTGTTTCTAAAAGAAATGATATTTCACATTTCCTTCAAAAAAGTTGGAGGTGGGGGTAGAGGTAGAAAGTGGCAATTTAACTGAAACCATTTAGATGAAATCATGAATAAAACATTATTAAAGCTGAAGAATAAGTACTATATGGGTTCACCTTTTGTTTTAAGTTCTTCAAAATAAAGCTTACTTTAAAACATTAATGTAAGGCTCAAAATAAAACTGCTCAAATGAGGGGGCTAGAGTGATAGCACAGCTGGTAGGGCGTTTGCCTTGCAGGCGGCCAACCACAGTTCAATTCCCAGCATCCCATATGGTCCCCTGAGAACCACCAAGAGTGATTCCTGAGTGCAGAACCATGAGTAACCCCTGTGCATCGCCAGATGTAACCCAAAAAGAAAAAAAGAAAAAAAAAAGAAACCCTGCTCAAATGTCATCTCTCCATCATGATAAAGATGGAATATAAATAGTTTTAGTACTTATTTATATTTTCTTTATTAATCTAACAATTAAAATTTTGAAAAAAATTTTCAGATCTACTATTACTGTTTGAGATACAGACATTATTTCACTTGATCTTCAAGTACTATCTTCTTCACTTCATAAGAAAACTAAGAATCTTAGTAATTTGACCAAGGTTAGTAAATGACAATTTACTAAATGATGATTCAAATATAAATCTGTGATTCCAAATCCCATGCTCATTAGGAAAGAATTTAGAGATTTTTAAAAATCGTAAACAATCTACAGGGCTGGGGCAATAGTACAGCAGGTAGGGCGTTTGCCTTGCACGCAGCAAACCCAGGTTCGATTCCCAGCATCCCATATCCCAGCATCCCTGAACACCGCCAGGACTAATTCCTGAGTGCAGAGCCAGGAGTAACCCTTGTGTATCGTCAGGTGTGACCCAAAAAAGAAAAAAAAAAGGAATGCCCTGCCACAGAGGCAGGGTGGGATGGGGAAGGATGGGGGGGTGGGAGCGATACTGGGATGAGTGGTGGTGGAAAATGGGCACTGGTGGGGGGATGGGTACTCGATCATTGTATAATTGAAACCCAAGCACAAAAATTTGTAAGTATACAACTGTACTTCATGATGTTTCACTAATAAAAATTTTAAAAAATTTTTAAAATTTTAAAAAATCATAAACAATCTACAAACAGAATAATCAGCCTCTAGTATATCGAACAGTGGAAAGCATGGTCACATTTTAGTCAGAAAATACTATGTGGTTTTTCTAGTACCATATTTCCAGACTTAAGTACAAAGAGTACAAAGAGGAGAGAGAATTATACTTAAAGTTGTTTAAATATTCACAAAACTTAAGCACGCACTCTTGGTTTCTAAAAGTATGATAACAAATTCCCTACTATTAGGTTCAAACATCTCCTTTTTATATGTTACTAACTAAATAAGTACCATAAATGTTTTTAGTTTTAGTTTTTAGTTTCAGAAAAACTGGAATTTTCTGAAATTTTTCTGAAAGTAATATTTGCAAGAAAATCTTATTGTCTAAGACCATTTTTACTTTCAGAAAATAATTTTATTTTCTATTTTATGATGAAAATTGTAATCATCTTTTGAAATGTATGAAAGGAGCTTAGCTATATTAATGTATTTCAGACAAGGTAAATACTAAAGATTAAAGAAGAATGAAAGGAAACATCCTTTTAAAAACATTATTTAAGACATCTCAAATATAGCTCCAGGACTCTGTTCTTGCTTCTCTTTCTACAAATAGCACAAAATTATTTTAACTTCACAACACGAATTTATTAAATTAATTCCTCTATAGCAGAATCTTTCAAATCCAAACAGGCAGCATAATTCGCATACAGCAGGAACTCACTTGTTACAGAATTAAGAGAATACGAATGTTGTGAGAATTTAGATTGCAGATACAACTACAATGCTCCCAAACAACAAGTTCTTGGCTTTAGAAGGAATATTTATATTTTAATTTTCAAATATTAATAAATTGGTAAGTTCACTGATCATTTAGATTCTAGCAATATATCCTCATTAAAATGAAGAAAAGTATGTATTTTCCTGAACCATATTAAAAATGACTCAAAGGAAAAAAAAAACAAATTTTAACTGAAAAGATTAATTTTTAATGTAAACTTTTTAATATGCAGGTAGAAATGTTTTAATTTTAATGTATAAATAATGCAGGGCATTGCTTTAAGACATGTGCAGAGAAACGTGCTTAAGTGTCTATAGTCTGAAGAGCTTTAGAAAACTGGAAATTGTAACTGAGAATCACAGGAACCCTCCTGGAAGTATCTCTTGATACTCATCAGACTTTGGCACTACTAGAGAACTTGCAAAGTTTAAAAAATAAATGAATAAAAATACATACACACATATATAATAACAATTATACATTTGGTTTTCATTTACTCAAACATTTATTAAGTGACTATAATGTGCTAAACACAGTAGGAGGTGCTGTAGATAAAAGGATGACAACACATCACCTTGGCGTTCAAGAATTTTCAGTTAATAGAGAATCTTAGAAAACAGACCAGAAACAAATTTGTTATTCAAACATTTGTGTAAATTAGCATCTGTTCTGAGTGAATACAACCTATTTTAATTTCATGAATTCCTTTACCAAAAGATAGAAATTCAGAGTGGAGAGGAAAAAAAAAAACCTTACCTTGAGTATTATTTGGAAAGTGGCTCACTTTTAAGTAATGGAAACAGTTAAGCCTTTGCACAAGAACTTATATTTCAAGTTTTAACCTGGACCGAATATATAATGAAAAGCTAATGGTCATTTATGGAAATGTTGACAGACTTACACCACCAATAGATGCAACTACAACATTGCATTTATTGAAAATTAATGAAGTCCCTGAATTTTTATTTATAAAGTGGATATTATTAGTTTTAGATTATTTTCTGCAAGCCAACAGTCAGAATTTAATAAGATGATTTGTACAGATTGTACTGATTTTCACTCTTATCCACTGCTTGCAGCCTATGTGCTTTTAAACCAAAAACATTTGATATACACTAACTATAAATTATTTCCTTAGAGATCTCTCAGGCATGAAGAAAAAGCCTCTTAAAATAAATTTAAAATATTATATGCTTGATGGTGTATAACCAAAGGTTTAATCTCACTACTAAAGGGGCAGTTACCATGATTTTGCAATAACCCTGCAGACAATAATCAAGACAGCTCCTGTTGTTCTCTCAGTAAAATCTTCATAAACACAGCATGGATATATTATAATTTGATATCTGTAAGATCAACAGCTATATACCTCATGATAACTCAGAATATAAGATTTTATTCACCATTAAATTAAGCATTTTTCTCAGAAGATGTATTATTTAGCAAGTATTGTCCTATTAACTATAGATAAGCACATTAAAATAGATGCTTTTTTCGCTCCACACTCTCAAAAAGTGCAGCCCTAATACAAGCTCTCTGGTTTCAAAAAAATGTAGAATTCTATAATTATTTTAAAACAACTGATTGACTATTAGTTTACAATAAATATGAGCTAAATACAGCTATAACTAGTCAGATTCGAAATTTCTAGCTGCTATTTTAAAAGAGAAAAAAAGAATCAGACTAAACACAAATGGTGACAACTTCAGGAAATCAGGCAACATTTAATAAATCATAAAAGTCAATAAAATGATATCAAGCATTCAAAATAGAACTAGAATTTAATTATCAGTTACATAAATAGTAGTACATACTTTAACTATAAAGTATATTACCCCATCAGTATTTCAAAAATGAAATAAAACCCTCTTTCACTCACCAATGCTGGATTTTCTCTTGGCAGTTAGTGACCACCTGTCATGAAAACAGATAACTGCTTATGAAAAACAGAGCTATACACAAAAATACATAATCAGTTTATCAGAAAACTAGAACTGTAGCTTTACAGATTTAACAGCAACTCAGTATACATTTTTATTTGTCACATGCACACAGATGTGAATGTTCGTTTTTAAGCAGCATACTTTATCATAACCGTCTAATGCAGGCTGATAACTGCAGAACAAATTACAGCTTTCCGATTTATACTTCAGTACAAAACCCGCTTCATAACTATTAGGTGACATATGATATAAGATAACTAGTATTTTGTACAATCTACAGGCTTGTTTTCAATGTTACATATTTTAAGAATACGCAAACGTTATAAATTACTAAAAAAAAAAACCCACGTAACATCCACGTTTCATCAGCTTAAAAAAAATGACAGTAGTGCAAGTATTTTATTGTCAGTATATCTCCAAATGTTTTCACCTGTAATTTTTATTCTGATGCAATAAAAATGAGTTCAGTTATTTTTTTCCTACATTTTCAAGAAGAAATACTCTGGATAAAGAGATGCTCTGAACAGCCCATTTGTTCCCCCCAGTGAATGATGATAAAATTTTAAGCACTTCAAAGCCAGTTTAAACTTATGTTTATAATAAGAGGCAATGAAATTAAGCACAAAGTTATCTGCTTTCCTTAGAGATATTTAAGTAGATCACAAAAGGCTCAGGAAACAAATAAGAACACTAAACATTAAAGGAGAGGGGTAAACACTTGGAATTCAAAAACACTAGGAATTCAAAAAATAACAGTTTTCAAAAATTACTAGTCATGTTTCTTAATTGTCATTAATAAAAATTTTAAACAATAATATCAAATAACGAAGCAGCATTTTAGAAACATAAAAACTAAGGGATAAAAGTCAAAATACTTAAAACCAAGACAATGTAAAAAGACAGCAATATTATCTGGTTTGAATTGCTCTCGTTCACTGCTTAAATATCAATATTGCCTTTCAGATGGCTCAATGTTCACAGGAATCACAAGGGTTTTTTTTTTTTTTGGCCTGTCACTAAATTCCTCTATTATAACATTTAATTCCTGAAATAAATGTCCTCCTTTGGTACATTTTAAATACTAAGGCAGCAATCCTGTACCAAAATACATGCTGTAATCAGATACCAAACCATACTACACATTAGCTCAGCATAAAAAGTCCATTTTAGCAAGAAGATCTCTCAGTAAGTATCAATCACATAGCAACACTTAATAACAGTGGTAATACATAATAGAGTACTGACATTACATCTGGAAGAGCCAGGCTAAAACTACATGAATCCATTCCACTGTTTCTGATTTGGCAGTAATTAAGAAACAAACAGAATTAAATACAAATTGAAAAAGAAAAAATCTTCATGAAATTCTTTTTATAAAGTTCCTATTTAACAACCCCATTAAAAGACGAGACCAAAAAACAGTCAGGATGCTCTTCCAATCCCAATGCATGTGTTTCCAAGCATGAAGTGAGCCAAAAGCACAAAAAGAAAAGCCCTGCAAACCATAAGAGCAGAATGTTCATTAACCTCTACATGATAATCCTTTCGTAGCTGCATATTAACTAGTTACATATTCATAATCATTTACATTATTTAAAGGACCTTCTACAAAATTTTCTATGCAATATCCATTAGTGACAGTGTTAAAGGTTATAGAAGATAGTCTACTTAATGTTTCCAGGAAGCCTTTTTTAATTAGTAAATATGTAAATTTGGCACATATGCTTTTTATGTTTAAAAAACAAATCCTGGATAGAATGTCATGCGTTCTCACCATCATCCCCTGCAATCTACTTAGTACACTTTGTTCTCCTGTATCCCACCCCCCACCCCACTTCTGCCTCATTTTTTCCTTAAAATAGTCCTTACCAAATACAGATATTCAAGCATAAAACAACACAAAAAGTCTACTTGGTAATTTTTAAGAAAAGCTTCAACTGTCGAAATATTGTCATACTAAAGATTCAAGTTACATTTAGGGTTTAGAACAGAGATCCAATTAGGTACTATTCAAACGTAGGCTAAATATTTCAAGAACCAAAAGAGAAGTGAAAAAGGCAGATACAAAAATAATTTTCTGATTGTGATATGCCTACATATCCAGGTACTAAGAGACCACAGATGTAAGTACAGCTCTTGGTTTTTCAAGTGTGAGTTGTGAGGCCCTGGCTTTGATCCCTGCAGAGGAAAAAGGAGATGAGGGAGGGCGGGGAGTGAGGAGAAAAGCCAATAGATACTGAACACACATCAATCTATGAGCTGAGAGTAACTTTTTAAGGACATATTGTCAACTCAACAAATACACACCATTACCAAAGTAGAAAAAGACACATACTTCAAAGCCAGAGAGATAGTCCAAAGGGCAGAGCACAAACTTCACAAGCAGGAAGTCCAGATTTGATCCCTAAGACCACATGGTTCCCTGAGCACTGCCAATTGTGATCCCAAGGACAGAGCCTCGAGTAGAGCTCACATGCACCACCAGGTATGCCCTAAAAACTCAGAAAAAAATGTATTTCAACAAAGACAAAATAGTTGAGCCAGAGTATACTATTGTATAGCGCCTTGCACACAGCTGATCTGGGTTCAATCCTTGGCACACCTGAGCACTGCCAGAAATCACCCCTGAGCACAAGAGCCAGAAGGAAGCCCTAAGCACAGATGGGCATAGTCCCATAAAACAAAAATAAATAAATAGTACAGATCATTTAAAGAACCCTCTATACAAAAGGAAGAACTGCCTAGTTTCCTAATTTTTTTTTCTAATCCTGCAATATAAAAAGTAATAAATTTTAGGGGTTTCTGTATAAGAATTGGGAACAGATTAATTTTTCTAACATGCTGAAAAGTTAAAAATACCAAAACTGCAACCGGACTGACTTCAATTACAAAGTCACTTGTTAGAACACATTCAAAAAAGGTAGCTCAGATGGAATCAAAATAATCCCCCTTTATTTTTCCTTTCAAATTTAGCCCAGTTTCTCGCACTCAGGCTTCTAATAGATTTCTCATAGTCAAACATATGTAGATTATGTCTAACATGTTTTGGTTCATTACATTTTTTGTTAATTTTTTACCTTTATTAGTTTTTCATACATTAGAGCTCTTTTATCTTTTAGTTATTTACCACTCATAATCCCAACTATTCTAATAAATATAGCCCTATTACAATGGAAATACTTAAGACTGGTGGCAAATACTGTGATATTTTGAAAAATTGAGAGTTTTTTTTAGGGGAGGGTTGGAGAGGGACCATACCTAGCAATGCTCAGGGGTTTATCCCAGCTCTACACCCAAGAATGTTTCCTGTGTTGCTCAGGGAACCATATGGAATGCCAGGGATTGTACCCAGATTAACAATGTGCAAGGTTCTATCTGTCACCATACTCTCTCAGCCCCAAAAGGCAATGAAGTTAGATAGCTATGTTTCTGGATTACTAGTTATCCAGAAAACTAGTTGTACTAAAGGTTTAATGGCGTATAAGCCATGCTCACTTTACTTGTCAATGTAACTCACCTCCGCTCCAGAAAGCAAAACGTTTTGTGTGTTTGACTAATTCCATCTAAGCTACCTTTTTTAAGTAAGTGTTCTAACAAGTTACTCTGTAATTTAAGTTAACTTCTTGCATTCTACAGAAAGCATGCAACAAGACTTTTTAAGTATAAGTCATTGAATCTATATAGTAATTTAGGTAACGTTCATTTTGACAGCACTGATTCTCCCAATCCAAGAATATGGAATATGAAACTAAGGTACGAATAACTGAGTTATTCTTGGAACTATGTGAATCATGATGCCTTAATAACAAATTTTTTAAATAAAAAAAGAAAGATGTACAGATCAGACCTGGGGATGTGGCTCAGAAGTGGAATTCCACCTGCCTTACAGGCATGTGGCCAGGAGTGAATGCCCACCTCCCACTGCCCCACATGCTAACTGGGATCCTAATTTAGTGCCACAGAAGTGTGTGATCTCAACTGCACTGTAACCATGTTTGAAAGAACCTCAATCAAGGAGCCACAGTCTGATAGGACAGCAGGCCAGGCAATCCGTAGCACCACACATGGTCTCCCGAATCTAGCCAGAAGTAACGCCTACATGCAGAGCTAGGAGTAAGCCCTGAGCACAGTCAAGAGTGGCCGAAAAGATATGCCAGACACAGTAACAACAAAGCCTCCAATGGTGACGTTACTGGGCCCACTCGAGCAAATCGATGATCAACGGGAGGGCCGAAAAGAAAGAAAGGAAAAAAAAAACCTTCAATCAAGTGTGTGATGTCTATGCCCATAGTACCAACAAAAGGAAAGGGGTAGTGGTTAATAACCTATGCCAAAATCCTCTGTAACAAATGTTTCTCAATTTCTGACTTTTCAAAATTCAGTGAAGTAATATAGCATACAATTCATATGTTACAGAACACCCCCACCCAACACAATCCTGCATCAAAGACAGTAACATTTGCGATGAAAAACGAATATTCAAAATAAGTGAAATAAATTGCCTCACTCAAATCTGTTCCAATCAGTTTTGTCAACGAACGAATATGCACAAGCTTAAAAAGAACTTTGCTCCTAGTGCTTGCTGGATTTCTCAATTGCAGAAATTATGGCCATTTGGTGCCAGGGATAGAATCCAGGAACTCACATATGCCAGGTCTGTCCTCAATTACCAAGTCACATCCCTGGCCTTGTTCTCTATTTCTGATATTGCTTAAATTACGGCTTGCATAGTCACTGTTTACTAGAGATATCAATAATTTTCTTTTGTTCCCATACCTAACTTCTAGAAACCTTCCCTCCTTCCATCTAGGACAGAAAGAGAATTCCATTTCTCCACCTGTAAGTACAATGAGGGGTAAGATTTGATGATTCTGAGTAGGATCAAATTAACTCTAGTTATATCTAAGAAACTGGGGTGATTCAATAGCAGAATCTGGAAACAACTCGAGTGCTCAAGAACAGACAACTGAC